AAAGTGGATAGGCACAAATTTTGGGCGGCAATTTTCCGTGAAATATTTTATCAAATGCTTTAGAAAAAATCTATAACGGAGAAATCCATCTGTCCATGGCTACTGATTGTCTCAGAGATATTATTTACTGGTTGTACAAGTTGCTAATGGTAGACAGTCCATTGCAGAATCCACGCTGAGCTGGAGATAAATAATTATCTATTTTGAGATAATCTGAAAATTGTTTACAAACACCATGCTCTCACAGTTTAGAGCAGGTATTCAGGACAGAAATAGACCTGTAAATACCCAAGTCAGTCGAGATACCACCGTTATGAATGGGTACAAGTTTGGCTTGCTTCAGAGCCTTATGAATGTGCGAATAAGTAATCGATGACATATATAATAGTAATAAATATTTAGCTACCCACTTAGCGTACTGGTATTAAAACTCATTTGGAATACCTTGTGTACCAGCACTTTTCTAAATATTATTACTCAAGAGCAGGTTTAGAACATGTTTCTTTTTAATCACGATATTGGCAGCAGAGGGACGGTCAGGCGAAAAAGGCATGTTGGGTAATTATTTTACGGTCATGAGTGAATACTGAAAAAAATGTGTTTAGAGCTTCTGTTTGTTACTTCGTTACAATAATGTTATCTGAAGAATAACGTTTACATTTTGGGTTAATATATTGCGAGAGCTTAGCAGTTTCGTCCTTGACAAATTTTCGCCACATGTTCAAAATTGCACTTCCACTCTAAACGAGCCTACTTTGTGCTTTTGCCTTTTGACACCAAGTATTCACGTCCGTTCTCGACTTTCTAGAGCAATCCTTCAATTTCCTCTCAATTTTTCTTTTGGCGTGCATCTTTCTCTATTGAGTCATGAGTTTTATAGCTTTCGCTTTTCGCTACTCTTTAAAATGAAACGTTCTAAGCAAATAGCCACAACAGACAAAAAGTATTGCCACAAACTGTCCGTACTAGGCTTGGGCTTGTATAATGAGCCAAACTCATCACAGGAATGTTCCAGGTAGTCTAATATACTAAAATCGTCCGCGACACTGAAACTCAATATCTGTTTTGATAGTTACTTCGGAAGACAGTGTGGAGATAAGACGTAATATAACCTAGTTATAGCTCGACAACAAAACGACGACACAGAAACAAGAAGGACACGAAGGATACGAACTAGCCCAAGCTGCCACACTTCCAAGTAATATAACCATTTTGTAGTCAGCCCTGCCTTCGCATACTACGTCATTTATAAAGCTAGTGAGGGAGTTAGATACGTAGATAAGATCTAGAATGGAGGATGTTGTTGCAAATATTTGCGTACGGTCACTTGCAACATTTTATTACGTTATATCAACCCCGCAGGGGCGTGTGGCAGCTTGGGCTAGTTGGTATGGCTTGACGATAGTTATAGCGCGAGAACAAAACGACGACACAGAGACAAGAAGGACACGAAAGACACGAGCGCTAACTTCTAACTGTGTTTATTGCGCAGAGCGCGAAAATATATAGAGACAGTAACCATGTGATAAACACCACAGGGCACAAAGAGTAGAACATGAGTAAGAAAAAAACAAAGACAAAAACTCCAGCACAGAAAAACGGCAAAGAAAAATTTATAAGAAAACGAAACAGAAATGTAAAGATAATATAACTACTTGCGCGCACCTAAACCCATTGCCCACATCCGAACATACTTCCTAGAACTTCGACGCAAATACACACGTCTTGAGTTCTTTGCAGGTGCCTCCAAGTCTAACTTCTCTGTGTCCTACGCTGCTGTCGGGCCATCTTTCTCGGACGCTGGCCCTCTACATCCAGGCACAAACATCTTCACAGTGGAAGCTTACGCGGTACTTGTGGGCGCTAAAAGCATCAGACAATGACAACTACAAAAAGCAGTCATTTATACGGACTCCCTATGTGTGATAACAGCTCTGCAAACTCTTGAAAAAAAGAAAAACCCTAACCTCATCTCACTCTACTCTATTTTATGCACACTCTACACATTAAAACAACATGTTGTAGTGTGCTGGGTGCCAAGGGCACCGTGAGAACGAAGGCAACGTGAGGGCGGATCAGCTCGCTGCATCCGTCCACACACGCACTGCCCCTACACCCATATCCATCCCGGCCCTTGATCTTAAGCCGTCTCTCAAACGAAACCTCAGGGACTATTGGCAGAGCGAGTGGGATAGACACACACAAAACAAACTACATATTATTAGGCCACATCTTGGTCATTGGCTGCCAGTATCAAAATCACGTCGTACATAGGTAACACTAACGAGGCTTAGGATAGGACACATATACACGACACACTCATATATTTTGTCCGGTGGCGATCCACCATTGTATGACAGATGTGGTGAAGCACTAACAGTTCTTCACATTTTAATGTAGTGTGAAAAATTAGACACTCTAAGAAGACAACACTTTCCATTACCCTACCAACAACACATACCATTACACCCTGCAATGTTCGTCGGTAGGGAACCACTTTTCACTCATAATTTGTTGCTAGCTTTTTAAGAGACGTCCGTTTCTACCTTGTAATATACCCAAGCATTGCCAAGCGTGACCTCTCATGAGAGGTTGCTGCTACGGTGGACACATTGAAAAGCACTTGCGTCGCGGCCCATGGACACAAGTGCGCTGATGAGGCATTTGTGCTAGTGCCAAATATTTTTACACATGCTATTGTTATCAAAACCTTTTGTCACCCATTTTTACTGTACATATACCGCCATTGTCATGATTTAAATAGGTATGTTTTTAGCCGCGTTAGCGCGAGGAATTTTGAGGCCCCTATACAGCTACGCACCATACCATTGTCCATATTCTACTCATTGAAATGGCGCTCTGTCGTCATCAATTGATGCTTGTGCCATTAGGCTCTACAAATATTCATCTTCACGTTATAAGGAAATTGTAATCTTAACAAATTTTCACTAAGAGTTACGTCTCTTTACCTAAGCAAATAGCAATGCCAATCAATATCTGGAATATTCAAATTGCCCAACAACAGTATATCGTCACCGGTTTAAATTTAGAGTCGATGAAGTTACGTATATGAGTAATATGTTCTGTAGAGTCATGTTAGGGGTCATGAATACTCCTCCAATAGAAACACTGCAATCACTTAACATTCCCTTGTTCCAAACTGTCTGAGAGCACCTCGCACTGCTACGGTGGTGAATTCTACATCTTGTTTATTCACGATAGCAACACCTTCTCCTGTTCTTGATCGGTGCCGTCTGTTTATGCTATAGCCCAGGGGAACGATTTCCGCATCAGATGACCACTCAGTCATGTCACTGTAGTCACGATTCGGTCGCGGTCATTCGTCGTAATGGTGTTTCCAGTGCAACTTGCTTATTCAACATGCTTCTCGCATTTCCATTCTTATTTTTAAAATCGACATTCACGCTGTTCATGTGAGACGTTAGCTGTTCTTGTTTTAAAGCTATACTGGTATCTTTCACTAGTTTGCTCGTTGCAGGTGTGGAGAACACCAATGAGTTTGTGTTTATCCAACGCTAGCTTGACCTTGCAATCTTATTTTCTCTCTTTAGCGGCTGAGTTCCACAACTTTTTATTTCCGAAGCTGTTTTTTGAAAAGTCCTCACCAATACTGTGACTCGTCCTCTCCAGTCTCAAGCATTTGCCCAGAAATCTTGTTCTGTCTCTGTAATCCACCACCCTGAGGATGATCGGGTGGGTCCTATCAGCCAACTGTCTCCCGAGCCAATAATGTTTTTCGATCGAAGTAACTTCCACTCCAAAACTGATTGAACTATTTCGTCGTTAAAACTTCTTAATATTATTTCCTCCGTTTTGTGGTCATCTTTCGCCACGACGCTAATTATGAAGTTATTGCGCCACGATCAGTTATTTAGGTCATCTATTCTGTTGGCCAGCCTCAGTGCTTTGTCACTGGATTTTAAAATGACCATTTGTAGCCTCCCTAGACCTCTTTGAGTTTTGTTGGTGGCTTCAACTTTACGTTCAATAAAAGAAAGTCGCTTTTGCAAGGTGGACATCTGTACCTCGAACGAGTGATGCTTATCTCGAAGAGCCGATAATTTAGAAAGTATTGATTTCTGGTTTTGTACCGTTTCCTTGCACATTTCTTCTGTGATAGACCCGGGGTTCTCTTTAATGTCACCCGATGTCACAATCCAATGTCACAATCCTGCCACAGAGAAGCACTCAGAGATCAAAGCACTGTGTGTAGACACGGAAACACTACAATAAAGGAATCATCGCTATGAAAACAGCATTTTCGGTCAAGAAGCTGCACGAAAAGCTGCACGTTAAGCGACATCGTCGTTGAGGTGTTGCCGTGTTCACTGAAGCCGTTAAGTAAATTTTGATCTACCGCTCGAGCAAACACATAAAAAGAATAGAGTTACACATTTACAAGTTTAAGCGGGACGTGATAGTGGGGTGTTTTGTGCTCCGTAAAAATAGACTGAAAGAGCGCTCTAAAAATACTCAGCAAGACCGACAGCCTAACAACACTAACGGTATGTTTTAGTTGGACTGTATTGTTTATCTGTGCTCTTGCTGTCGTTTCTGTTTCGTTCGCGCTTCAAATTTGTTAGTTACGTCACTAAAGCTACAGTGTACATTGACCGAACACGTTCCGCCGAAGCCCAGGTACGTCGCGCAGTGGGTACAGACGGTGTGTTAACGTCTTTGGAATGGATCTGAACAAGGCAGCTACTCGGGTAGGCGCACATGTCCGTTCACTTTCTACCATTATTGAAAAAAAAAGAAAACCGTGAATAGACCAAGAGTGTATAGCATGTTGGGTAAAAAAGGTCTTCGTACTTCTAATGTGTGGTGGAACTTCTATAGTAATGATAATAACTTATCCGGTGTTCTATGCAATAACCATGATTTCATTATGAGGCCACCTTCTTCTAGCGCAAAACTTCTTAGACAACGGACGAAGTAGACACCGCAGGGATGATAATAGTCATCAGTACTACACTTACATGAATCCAAACAGCTGCGCAACGAAGTTGCTGTGAGTGATTAAAGCCCCCTTTGGATGCCCGGTGGTTCCACTCGTGTAAAATATGAAAAGTTCGTCGTCCGGTTGTCTAGGTGTGGGGCATTTGAATTGGTCTTTTGGTGCGCTTCGAAGCATTTCGAACTGCACCATGCCACTGAAGTCGCCGAACACCACAAAAGCCTGTCGAAATTGCAGTAAAATATACGCCACTGGTAGTCACCAAGCTAGAGGACAAGAATGAAAGTGAGAATAATAGGAGAAATCGTATTATCATAAACCCATGGGTGTCTATAAAACAACATTGCGATATCAAGTGTGATGGGAATGCATCGGGAACTGCACAAATTAATTCCCGTATTTTAATCGCTCATCTAAACTTATGTGAAAATTACTTCATTAAATGAGTGAAGCATTATGTAATGCACACACACACGACCTGGACATCACTAAATAAATATAGACATGAGTGGGCGTCATGATGAGCGTGGGCCACTGAAGCCAAACGCTTCGTTAAGTCTTCTGATTCAGTGCGTCTATAAAACTGGATAAATCTTACCTTCAAGTGCTGCGGAGGAAAGTGACCCACACAAAGCAAACATCCATTTGAGCAAACCATGTTTACGATGACAACGTGCGCGATCATCAGAACCAATTAGTCACAGGAAAGAGCCATTGAAGCTGCAATGACCGGTTTGTGCAGGAGGCCTCCGGAGTTTTTGACCAAAGAACTGGATTATGACGCGTTATGTGTCAATGGTCGAATACTGAAGAATGTGATAAAAGCTATCAAATGCTAATATGGGAACATAAACATGTTCATCTTATGCCTAATGATACTGCTACTCAAAATGGGCTTCGTTTTTGTAAGCCATTATGCTACGTTAATTGTTTCACCTTGACCTTTTTTAGATCGTGAATAAAATGAGCTAAATCACAACGTTCGAATACATATTTCACCACGATTGCCACTCTGCCATAATGCATAACTTTCTGAAAGCAATAGAAGCGATGGTAGACAAAAAGTTTCTTAAAGAAAAAATACAGTGAAAGAATGAGTTGGTTTAGATTAGTAAAATCTACTCTGATAACTTTCATCTGACGAGTTCGACTATTATAGGTTCCTTTTCTGGCGAAAAAAAATCGAAGCTCAAGCTTCACTTTTAAATCTCGCGCACAAGCCCGTAGTGGGTGACGTCAATTATTTCAAAATGTATTTCTCATACCCATGACATGGACTTGACAAAATTTTCTGGAACGTGGTATGTTAGGTCTGTGGCACTGATAGATGACAATATTACTTAATTTTTTATTAGAAACTACGTGGACCCAGTAGACGACATCAAAAGTTATTACGTCACGGCATTTGGTGTGGAAATCGCGTGTTTTTCCGCTTTCGAAGAGTCGTCTCGTGGTAAGAGTGGTCTTTTCGAGCTGTAAAACTGTAGTTTTTAATAGGCGAAAGATTGCCTTTTTTCTTCAGTGTCTCTTTATTGGTACGCTGAAATGGCTTCTTGAATTTTGTCAGTGCTTAAAATACAGCATCATGAAATCATTCATACCACAAATTAGGTTGCGCCTTTTGTCTATGCAGCTAAAAGCAAGTTTATTTATACCTACTCGTCGCATTCTATTTATACCCTCCCACAGCTTATCGAAAACCCAGCCGTCACAAGAGACAGCAGCGCACTCGACGGTTTGGGTTGCAATGTCTCCACGGCCAACATCCGAAGCGCGACATACTACACTGTATTCTCATAGCGAAATTTACGTCGCCGCTCTTTATATAGAAAGAACGGGCTCTCAGGCAGTTTCGCGACTGAGCAAGTGAGAGTAACAACTTCAGCCAGGTGGCGCGGGTACACGTGCTCCCGCTTGTGAGTCAGGAAACAGCCGCCTCAGGAGGACCACATATAAATGCACGTGTGCAGTCATCCATGTCAGCTATGCGTCGTGTCTTGCAGAGAGATTCCAATGCACTGCCACAAAATTAGGTGGCATGTGCATTGTTTCCCACCGCGTATGCAATACATTAGTAAGGTTTAGGTAAAAACGTATTCACATTGATAAAGAAAGCATGGGTGTATAGCTTATTGGAAAACACACTCGTTGTTGAAAAGGCGTGGCCGATGTTCAACACGCCTTAACCCCAGCAACACAAAAAATCTTGCCCTTTTAAATTTTTTAACAAGGATAGTGCTCTAGCCCCGGGTAAATTTGGCGGCCGTGCCCAACAATTCATCATCATGAAGAGGTAGGTGCCATGTAATTTAGGCAAATACCGCTACTTGCCTCTACGGTCTGGCCTGTAAATCGTAGCCCTGAGAACGAGTAAACACCGAGAGACAAAGAGCGAAAAAGAGAGAAAAAAAGAGAGAAAAACATAGGGGAAAAGGAAGGTATCAAGAAAAAAATGCCAAAAGACCTTATTCACGAGATGGGATTGGAACGCGCGTCCCCTCAACCTGAAGGGAAACGTCCTATTCAGGCACGTATGCAGAGCCTCGCATAGCTTTTTATTGAATAGCGTAGCAAGCGGGTGGCAAGCGGAAGTGAGAATGAGGAGGAAAATTTGATGGTGAAGAAGAGGGGTTATAGTAAAGCATAGTACAGAAACAGTGTGGAAGAGTGAAACAGGAAAAATTGCAGAAAAAATAGAGAAATCAACGAAATGGAAAGAAGTGCAGCGAGAGAAAAAGAAGATATAAAAGGAAGAGGAAGAAAGCATCAAAGCCAGTAGCGACCATACATCGCGTCAGCTTGTCAAGCTGCACTTCCGCAGTAGATAAGCCATTCCCATCGATGAAGACATCGCCCGCTATGGCTTCCAGATTGAACAGAGTCACCACCTAGCTGCGAACGGACGAAGCCTCAAAAAGTGGATGCCGGTGGTCGGTCGCGGTTTCTACAGCAGTGCGTATCGCGTTTCATGTCTGAGAATTCATGATGGAATGTAACAGGGGTGGCTTTGTCGACTCTGAGTAAACTGATTTTTTCCACTTTGCAATGGAAGTTCGTGAATTCAGTTGCTGCTTTCCGTGGTGATGCCAAACGCATTTGATTAGTGCAACCGCACCACAACCACTTGCCGTTTCTTTAACGTTTTGGGAGACGAACATTTGTGATTCGATGTTACGATATCTTTGCCTCTCAGAAGAATTATGACTCATGTTGGAGACTGTGTAGCGTTTATAGTCGATGATGACGAAGCCGTTGCGGTGGGCCATGTCACTGAATTTAGTGCAGTCTTTTCGACGCGCTTCTCTGACGATCCTTTTCATGTTATGTCCTTTGTGTTCGAGCCTTCCACGCTTACAAAAGACCAGAAAAAGGTCTGCGTAAAGTTGAATGACCAGAAAGTAATAGCAATATTTAATTTCTCATGCCCTACAAGGTGCTCATGAAAACTTCTGTTCGGATATATTTAGTCATGGAGCGTGTCGCGAGAGCTGAATAAGATATAGAGCCACGTGTTCGGATGAGCTAACCCACCTCTTAATTTGCAGATTGTCAGAGATGCTTGTGGCAACGTTGATGTCACAGCAGAAAGTGATTTTCTGTAGAGTTTACACGGCAGCATTGTTTTAGATTTCTTGACAGAAGTCCTGTGATGTCATACAAGGCCGAATTGACAACCTCAGACCTTGTTTGGCTAGCCTGGACAATATCATCCAAATCCCGATCACCTGCTTTGACAAGTCCGTCTAACATGACCTTTAGCTGTTCAAAGTGCGAGGGGTCACTGTCAGCTTTCTGGAAGATATTGCGGAACTCTGAAAGGTCGAGGGCAGGCTTTTCTTCAATTACTTCGCAGTTCCCGAACCTCGGTAACTCGAACAAGCTGTTGGCGGAAAGCATGCGGTACAATTGCAGAAACTTTGGCATGTCTGCATGAATATTGTCACAAGCTGCCTGTCTTGCGTTGCCAATAGTCACTCAAGGGGGTCCTGATTGAATTTCGCCGTTAGTACGTATTTGTAAGCGCACTTGCCCAACACGTACTTGATTAGTGCAAGCGTAGAAAGCATTTTGACATGGAGGCCTTCCGCAGTTCTTGGTGTGAGAAACATTTCCTCCATGATTGCGCGTGACTGGAGCTCCCGTTCGCAGTCATCCAGCCACTGAATAGAGTCTCTGATCACAATGAGATCACGGCTACCGTATCGCATCTCTTCTGTTGGATGCCGTATATTCATGAAGTAAAAAATGAACGTTCATATTTTCAGTGAACGCGATCGTTCCTGCATCTTCTTGGCATTCAAAACTTTTTGGTCAGCGTAGAACTTGATACCAGAGCACATATACCAGCTGAAGACTTGCGACACCAGCTTAACGCGCAGGAGCTTAATTTTTGACGGGTATATATGGTGCTCAGTTATTTTTGGGCAAACCTTCAGGCCTCCTGCGTTCTTGCAGTCTTCCTTGTACACGGCCATGTACAGACTCCATTTCACCCACTGACCGTTTACTTCGAGAAGACGCTGTTTAAGCAATCTTTTCCCGATGCATTTGAATAGATGATGTACATCGGAAAAAGCAAACACCTTGTTCTCCTCATTTGAAGGATGCTCAAAAAATTCTTCGCCTCACCAAGCTTCCCGCTGACGCTCATATGCGTCGACATCTTTCTGTTCGTCGCCACTTCGTCACAGACAATTCTATCAACTAGTGCGCCAACGTTTTCAAGCATGACGATCGCCTGGAGGACCAACTGGCTAAGTACTTTCACTCTATGTGACTCTTCCCTTTGATGTCAATACACCGATCGGTTGCGCGTAACTGTTCCCAAAAGGGCAGAACATGAACACCAGCGCGTGATTTGCGAGCTCGGAGCAATGCCTATCTCCTTCACCAAAGTTGTCGAGACCCGTGTAGGTTAGAGTTTTGGAGATCACACTCTTCTGCTCTCTTACCGAAATTCTGTCAAAACGAAGCATGCCGTGTCTCTCGAAGCAGTTTTGGAAGCCAGCTTTCCTGTGAACGCTTGAAAGAACTCGACATCAAAGTCACATTGCATACCAACTATGGCAAGATACTTTCTGATGGTTTTCACACTGGGCAGAGGTAGAATGTTTTCACAAAGAAACCTGTCACCTGATGCTGTCAGAATGTGCAAAAAAATACAGAGCAACAACATCGTGATGGGAATGGCTTCCTCGCTTCGGCACAGCCTTTGCAGCTTT